ATGTTTAGGTGTTTACCAAGATTGTCATTTAGGAACTATATATCAAGGTCTCTTCAGAAATTCCTATAAATAGTTGTTATGAAGATGAAATGAAATGATCCCTATAAGCACTTATTGTATTACTTAAAATAATGGTGTAATTTAGTAACTGTTAGCTCTTGTAATTAATTTGTAAAGCTTATAGAAGAGATCATTAAAGTTTCATTTTAAACATGGAAAAGAGAAAAAGCATACCTCCTCTCTAATTACAAAGAAGTGTCTTGGGTTTTAATGTATTCAGTAAATGTTACATCATACATATGCAAATAATTAAATAGTCATTAATGTCCTTAATAATATTCTGTATTCAATTTGCATTGAATACTGACATATTTATTGCAAGTACGCACATTTGTTATATTTATAAATTTATTTGAAAATAATTTAAGGTAACCCACATTTTGGGTTTGGCATTCATTTATTGTCAGAATCTCCTTAGTCTGGCTAATAAAAATTAAATTTGTTAAATACAGCAATATAATTGTGTCCTTGTAATATTTTAATTCACTAATATAAATTCTGTCTTCCCTATCTAGATTTTCTCAAAGTTATGGAATATAGTTAAATAAAACTTTATCTGTCTAGTTATAATGAATTAAACTTTGAACAAATTGATTGTTGATTATTTTCATGTATACAAATTGTAAACCTGTAGCACATTGTTGATTTTTAGTTATTTAAGTTGTATGTCTCAATATAAAAATGTTGTACATTATACTTGCTCAAATATGAACTTATCTTTAAATATGTTCATGCCTGATTTCTTAAGTATGGACTGTAAACATCCCTGTAAGTGATTTAGAACCAGTAGGGAAAACTCTGAGGTTTTGACATAAAGTTGAAATAAGAAAATACTGAAAGAGGGATCATTGTCATTTGTATCCTGGTATCTTATGAACAGACTTGTTGTGTGTTTAATTTTTTCAAATGTCCCAAATTTTTACCTTAGTATATGTATGACAGATGTCTATTAGAGTAAACTAATTTTTAATTTCAAGGATTGTGATTGAGAATATTTTTAATGGTAGTAGCACTGGTTTACAAATTTATGTTCATGAGTTTTAAATCATTATATATAATGTTATCCACATGCCCATTGTTAAAGTACTTCTGTCTTTAAGTATATGTTTTAATGCAGCGATAAATCCAAATGTGTGTGTGTGTGTGTGTGTGTGTGTGTGTGTGTGTGTGTGTGTGGTTTTGGTGCCACACATAACTGTGCTCAGGCCTTAACTACTACTAGGTTAGTGCTTAGGGATCACACCTGGTGATGCTTCTGGGACTATATTCAATGACAGGGATTGAAGTGGGGCCAGTCAGTTACAATGCAAGCAACTTATCTGTGTATTATCTTTCTGGAACAAACTGTAGCTTCTTCCAAAAGATATTATTCGACATTAGGAAAATTTAATTATATAAAATATAACTACTGGGGCTTGCGAGACAGAACAGAGGGCTGGTGTTCATCCATTGCATGTGCAAGGCCCTGATTTTATTTTATTTTTAAATTTTAATTAAATTACTGTGAGATTACAGTCACGAAGTTGTTCATGAATGGGCTTTGGTCATACAATGTTCCAGCACTGGTCCCTTCACAAGTGTACATTTCCCACACTAATATGTTCTCGGTCTGTCTGTCGTCTGTCTGTCTGTCTGTCCCTCCTTTTGGACATTATGGTTTGCAATATAGTTGCTGAAAGTTTATCATTTATATCCTTTTACTTCAACATTCATTTCTTGTTCAGAATGATTATTTTCCAACTATTATTGTTGCAGTGGTTTCTTCTCTATCCTAACTTCCCTCTCCCCCATCACTTGTGGCAAGCCTCCAACTGTGGACCAGTCTTCCTGGCCCTTAATTCCATTGTTCTAGTAATAGTCTCATACTGGTTTTATAGTCTACAGATAAGAGCAGTCGTTCTGTGTCTGCCAATCTCCTTCTGACTCATTTAACTCAGCATGATATTCTCCATGTCCATTGTATCATAAACAAATTTCATGACTTCATTTTTCCTGGTGGCTGAGTAGTATTCCATTGTGCAGATGTGTCATAGTTTCTTTATCCAATCATCTGTTCTTGGGCACCCAGGTTGTTTCCACATTCTGGCTGTTGTGAATAGTGCTATAATGAACATAGACATGCATAGAAAAATGTTTATGCCATGTTTGGGGGCCCTCAGTATATATTCCCAGAAGTGGTATTGCTGGGTAGTATAGAAGCTCAATTTCTAGTTTTTGGAGGAATGCCCATATTGTTTTCCAAAAAGACTGGCCCAGTTGGCATTCCCACCAACACTGAATTAGAGTCTCTTATCTCCCGCATCTATGCCAGTTCCTGCTGTTCTTTTTCTTTTTCTTTTTCTTTTTTCTTTTCATCTCTTTTGGGTCAATCTGATGATACTCAGGGGTTACTCCTGGCCCTAAACTCAGGAATTACTCCTGGCAGTGCTTGGGGGACCATATGGGAGGCAGGGGATCGAACCCGTGTTGGCCACATGCAAGACAAACACCCTACCTGCTGTACTATTGCTCCACCGTCTGTTCTTGTTCTTGTTGATGTGTGAGGCTCTGATTTTAAACTCTTGAGCTGTTTGGTTCCCTGAGCAATGTTGAATGCCCTGTTGAACCTTAAACATTGTGACTTTGGTGGATGCTAGTGTTTGTGTAGCAGTTGTGGGTCAGAAGTCCTTAATTCAAGTGCTGAGTTACTCATCAATTCTGAAAAGAAAGGCTAGGGGCCCTTGTTTTCTCTAGACTGTGCTGCTGAAGTCTTCCTCCTTCTGTAGAGAGAAAGAGTGAAATTCAGACTCTAGGCAAGGGAGATAGTCCAGCAAGTCAGGTGCTTGCCTTGCACATAATGGACCAGGTTTAATCACTGACGCTGCATGTTTTTCTGAGCACTAGTCAGAGTGATCCCTGAACTCAGAGTAAGGAGTAATCTCTGTTCATAGCATAATGCTTGTGAAGTATTATAATGTCTGCCCTTTGAACAGATATGGCTTTTCTTTATTAAAAGCACAAATTTTATGGACTTGAGTGATAGTACAGTAGGTAGGGGGATTTCCTGGATGTAACTTCACAAATCACAAAATCACAAATAATCCTGTTATTCGTCGATTGCCTCGTGCAGGCCCCAGTAACGTCTCTTTCATCCTAGCCCTGAGATTATATTTAAGGCTCTTTAGGAGAATGAGACCCATTATTGTTACTGGTATTTGGCATATTGGGTATGCCACGGGGAGTTTGCCAGACTCTGCCATGTGGGCAGGCTACATTCGATAGCCTGCCAGTTTGTCCAAAGTAGGAATGAGATAATAAGATAATAAGATGTCATAATAAGATGACGCGCGGCCGCAAATGCGGCCACGCGGTTCTGGGAGCTAGTTTTTATAGTCTCTGAGTCTTGGCCGTTGATGGGATTACATGGCGCAGTCTCCTGCCCCCGCGCCTGGCTGTCCTCGACGGGGCCCCTTGGAGGGGAGCGGGTTGAGCTTTCCTCCCCGCCCTGACCAGGGCTCCGGCAGCGGAAGACCTCCAGGACCAGCCACCACCATGCTGAGACCACTCTCCGCACACATGAAGGTACTGGCAGAGGGACAAAGCCACGCAGATTCTGGGGCCGAGATCTCCGAGCCTACTCAGATGTAACTTACCCAGATTCTATTCCCCACCACTACATACCCGGATCCCTGCAGGAGAGATCTTTGAGTGCTGAAGTGCAGAATATACCCTGCGCACTGATGGTTATATCCCCTCCCAACAAAGAAAAAAAAACAAAAACAAAAAGCATCGATTTTGCAATAACAGAAAAAAAGGTAGTTTTATCACCACTATTTTTAAAAGAGAGAAATAGATATACCCAACAGACCAGGGTGAATGAAGTGGAAATAGTATTTCTACTGGAGTATTCATGAGCCTTAATAAATGGAAAAGGTACAGATTATAAAAATCCCCAAATATTTTCCTAATTAAAACTAATTTAAAACTTACTGGAAAATACTCATTTTTCATTATGACTGAGGTATAAAATATTACAGGAAAGTAAGTAGATGTAATCTAGGTTTATTTATGACAGTGAGGAAGTTTCTAACTTTAGTTTTGATAAGTAAAATTTCCGTTGTAGCAAAAGTAAGCGCTCTCTGAATTTTGGAGCTATAGTAATGATGTTTATTGCAACTCATACGAGAACAGGGTGTTTTAGATTTAGATTGTAATAGGTTGTTATTGTTTACAGAAGAATCTTGTTTATATAAATTTCTTTTGTTTATATGTAATCATGCTTGTATGTTATGTACGACTTTGCATTTATAACTGGAATAGTTTATCAAAGCTTGGATTTGGGGTCAGACATATAATTCAATGTGTATGTTTTGTATGCTGGAGGGCCAGGCTTGATCCTTGGTATCATATGATCCCTTGAGCACTCCTGGATATTCTGGATTCAACATGCTTGGTGTGGCGTCAAACTAAAATGAAGATGCGTAGATTTTAAGATTCCTATAATGTATCTGTTCATGGCTGTCATTTGTCTCCAGTGCTTGGTGCCATTGATGTGATTACTAATAGTAGAAAGTTTTCTTGGGGATTTTTTTTAAATTTCAAACACTTAGAGTTGAAGAGAGAAAATTCTGAGAGCTGAGACTTAGTTCCACAACAGAAAACCATTTAGTTTACAAAGGTGGAGTGGTGTAGATTCTTTTCTATATTCTACTCCTTGTCTAGTGTCAGAATGCCTCCCTTCAGTTTGCACCACTGGGAAGGCAAATAGAACCTTCTTGACCCACGAACCAAGAGTGAGTTTAACAAAATATGTACCTGTGGTGGATTGAGTGGCTCTTCTGACCTCTCATTTGCTAAGATCACGTGTCCAATTTGAAGCCCCCAAAGAACAATGAGGAGGGATTTCACAGACTGTGGAGTGAATTGTCTTCCTTGTTTTCTTTTTTCCATTCTACCTACAGCTAGTTATCAGACTCTGAGAAAAGAGCGTGGAGAAGCAAGAAACGGAGTTGGGGGACTGCTGAGACACATGGTGTAGCAGCTGATGGTTTTGTGAAGCAGAAGATTCCAGAGTCAGGTCCAAGTGCAGGTATTATGAGGGGCGGGGTGGGGGGAGAACCATGGAGATGTATCTATTATTACCATAGTACTTTGAATAGGATTTGCAGGAAACACCTTCTTTACTACATTTGCAATAATATGGTTGTTGAATAAAGCCTTCTTGATTTTAAGCTGTATCATCTAAAGCCATCACTTTAAAAATGCTTTAAAACATTTTAAAAAATGGATCCATTTTCATATTTCCTCACAATGTAAGTAAAATTCTGCCTTTTCTAGGGGATGAAAGATTGTTCACAGTGGTGAGGGTGAATGCCTATGATGATCTGAACTGGGTTCTATTTGTGGATCCACACAGTCTCCTGAGTATCTCTGGGTGCAGCCCTGGCAGCCCTTGAGCACTGCCTGGTGTGGCCTTGGTGGACCCCCAGTCCCTCCTGGTGATGTGGATACCCATAGTGGCACCATATCCCCAGTCTGTGTGCTGAGTCACTGGTGCTGTTGACTGAGAAATGCAGTGGGCCAAATGTGGGCTGGTGGGCCTACTGTGTGCTCCTCCTGAGCCGCACCCACAAATTCTGTTTTCTAAAATAAATGAAATGATGTAAATAACTGAGGTTCTCAGATTTTGGTTTTTATTTACATATTATGCTGTGCATAATTGTGCTGAATATTAAGAAGCACGGTGCCTGTGTGCTAAAATTAATGTACTTAGATTAGAATGGTCTGATTAATACTGGTTGATAATACTTATTCAAAAAAGTGGCCAAATCTGGAATAGAGAAGGGATCACTAACTCAGTGATGGTTGGAGGGATGTTTTGGAATGGGAGCTGTGTGCTGAAAGTAGATAAAGGACCAAATGTAATAACCTTTCAATATCTGTATTGAAAATCATAATGTCCAAAAGTAGAGAGAGAGTATGGGGGAAAATGTCTCCCATAGAGGCAGGGGGAGGGGTGGGATGGATGGGGGGGATTCTGGGGACATTGGTGGTGGAAAATGTGCACTGGTGGAGGGATGGGTGTTCGATCATTGTGTGACTGAAACTTAAACATGAAAACTTTGTTACAGTATCTCTGTCACTGTCACTTCACTGTCCTCCCGTTGTTCATCAATTTTCTTGAGTGGGTCCAGTCATGTCTCCATCGTGAGACTTTGTTGTTACCGTGTTTGGCATATCGAATACGTCACGGGTAGCTTGCCAGGCTTTGCCCTGCGGGCGAGATACTCTCGGTAGTTTGCCAGGCTCTCTGAGAGGGGCGAAGGAATCGAACTCGGGTACTGTATCTCACAGGGATTCAATAAAAAATAAATAAATAAATGAAAAATAAAGTGGCCAATAGAGAAGCACACCTCTGAGAACTTGTTTCCGTACTTTTCAGTAAGAAAATCTAGTTCAAATACCTTAGCAAGAATTCAGATCTAGCCAGTGGGAAGTATTGAGGTGGGTATAGGATTCATTTTAAATCCTAGAATTGACCTTCCTTTGTTGTGTCACTAGAGGAAGTAATTCAATCTTTCTGCCAGTTTCTCTACTTCACTGATACAGAAAACTCTTTGTGGTTTTGGCAGATAAATAGGTAATGAATTTAAGAGTTTTACAAAGTGACTGGGGCATAATTTAATTTATATGTTTCAAGAGTTACATTATATTGATTTTCCAACATATTTGAAGTCTGATACACCAAAGTAATAATTTTTTGTTTAATTATTAACACACTCTTTTCCTTATTTGTATATAGGTTCTGTGTCATAATCAAGGGGCTGGAGCAATAGCACAGCGGTAGGGAGTTTGCCTTTTGCGCAGCCAGCCCGGCCAAGCCGGGTTCGATTCATCCGCCTCTCTCTGAGAGTCCAGCAAGCTATCGAGAGTATCTCACCCGCACTACAAAGCCTGGCAAGCTACCCGTGATGTATTCAATATGCCAAACACAGTAACAACAAGTCTCAAAAAAATGGAGACGTTACTGTGCCCGCTCGAGCAAATTGTTGAACAACGGGAGGACAGTGCCATAATCAAATGTCTTGTGTTTTGAAAAATGTGACTCACAAAATAGGACATAAACTATATTCTGTCCTCCTAGTGAAAGATATCATAATATCTAGTATTGTGAAATTAAGTACTGTCCAACTGGTAGTTCCCTTTTCTTTTTCTGGAGCTATTATTTGATGTAATCAACTATCGTCTGATTCTAATGGCAATATAAATCTCAACCCAGACTCCCTTTTGTGATTTAATTATAGGTATATATGTTTAAGTATTTGTTTAAATATTTAAATATTTAATATAGAATTACATCTAATTATCACTGATTAATAAAATATGGATTGCAAATATAATTTTAATAGTAAAGATTTATTTTTTCAGTGAACTGAACAGATTAATAATTGCTATGATTTTTATTAGCTGTTTTCACACCTCACTGATTTTTCTACAAAACAGATGATTGCTCTATAACATATTTGATTTAAATTCACAAGATTCCAATATGCCATTGACTGTATATGATGTATATTGTCGTTACTATTATTATTACTTATTTTTAAACTTCTTTTGGGTTTTGAGCCACATTGGACTGAGTTCAGAATGTGGTTCTGTTCCCTGATGGGCTCTGGGGATCATATGGGATTTCAGGGATCAACCCCAGGTTTCACGAGTGAGGCAAACACCCTACCTCCTGTATGGCCCCTGATGTGCGTTTTTGAATGCATATTTCTATAGTTTTTGACAAGCTTGTTTTTGTGCCTCTAGAGTATGAATGAGTTCTACTACTGTGTGCAGCACAAAAGGGAAATGGTGAAATAGATGCCATTTAGATTTCCTGACATTCAAAGAAAAGGTATCTCAGTAATACCATCTTTTTTTGTTATTCTGCTGCTTCAACAAATTATCCGATAGAGGGGATGTTATGTCGGAGTGTAGTGCTAAGAATTCAGAATCAGACTATGACAGGTTGAAATTCACAGGAAATGAAACAGAAGTTAGAGTGACTTTCTCGGAAGGAATCTCTCAGGTTAACAGTATGCCTGGGGCTGGGAATAAGACAAGCCCACTGCCTTTTAATGATAAATATCTATAGACATAGCCACAAGAGAGCTTTGGTGCCCTAGGTGTCTTTCATTGGATTTTTAAATTCTGTGGGTATATGGAATTAAGCATCAACAGTTGGAATTCGTTCTTTGTATTATAGTTGATGATAAATTGCTTAAAGATTTATAATCATCACCAGTAAGGATGATACATACTAGATTAGAATTAAGGAATTCATTTGGTTTTCTTTCCCCAGAAAATCAAAATTCCTTATGTCAGAAAAGTGTCTTGAGAATGTGTCAGTGCCAAAAGGCTTGATGTGAAATCTGTTTGGAAATGAAGATCACATATTTCCAAATACATTATTAAATATTGTAAGATTTTTATGTGCCTTTATTTCTGAAAGTAGCTCACTTTTCATGAAGTAAAACTTTATAATAAATATATTTTTGAAAATAGCAGTGCTAACCAGGGTTGAGTTGGCAGTTGTCTCAGTACTTAAAACTTTATTAATTGCATTCTTACCAAATGAATTACTATAAAGTAGCCACCATATTTATATTACTTAAAAACAATCACCAAGTTATTTCTGAAAGATAAGATCACTTTTTTAGTGATTGTTGTTTCTCCTCCACCTTATTTCACCCCTCTTTAAAAACAAAGGCACGTGGGTCCCGGGCCTGAAATCTCCAAGCCTACTTGGATCGGGGCTGAGCATCCTCCACCCAGATCCTCCAAATTCCAGTAGGCGGAGGTCACACCCACCAAGAGACCCCTGGCATTGCGTAATCCCATCAACGGCCAAGACTCAGAGACTAAAACCCAGATCCCAGAAGCGCGTGGCCACATTTGCAGCTGCGCGACATCTTATTATCTCATTCCTACTTTGTACATACTGGCAGGCTACCGAATGTAACCTGCCCACACGGCAGAGTCTGGCAAACTCCCCGTGGCGTACCCAATATTCCAAATACCAGTAACAATGATGGGTCTCATTCTCCAAAAGAGCCTTTAATATGGCACTTTCTTAAAAATCTCAGGGCTACGATGAAGGAGACGTTACTGGGGCCTGCTCGAGGCACTCAACGAATAACAGGATGGTTGTGATTGTGATTGTGATTAAAAACAAGGGATCAGTTAATTGTTTGTTAACCATTATCTCAGTTTTTCTTTATTTCTTAATTAGCCTTTTAAGATATTTCAGATATTTCCTGCATACTTTTCAATTCATAAGTAACAATTTGCTAATTAGATGATGGTGAAGGGTACTAAAACTGTGGTGGTGGGTGATTTTTTGTTATAAATTTATTGAGTATGCCTGCAACTTATATGGTATTGTAAATCAATAAAAGCAAGAGGAAATGTATGTCTATAACTGTACCTCATGGTGTTTCATTAATAAAAAATTTAAAAAAAAACCTAAAAAAAAAGCAAGGGGAAAATCTGTTTCTGGACATAATCGAGTATTCAAAACAAATACTGAATATATCTCACATATTTTTTTGTAGAGTTTTTGTTGTTGCTGTTGTTTTCCTTTTGGGTCACATCCGGCAATGTTCAGGGGCTATTCCTGGCTCTGCACATAGGAATTACTCCTGCTGGTACTCAGTTGATTATATGGGATGCCTGGGATTGAACCCGGGTCAGTGGCATGCAAGGTAAATGCCCTACCCTCTGTACTGTTTCTCCGGCCCCAGGATGACTGTTTTTTGGCAGGAAGGAAGGATGTTCTTTAATTTCAAGGAAGATCTGCCTTCCTAATCAATGTGTAAGTTTGGCCCTGTACCTTATGCAATTGAAGATTCCCAACTTTTGTCCATGGATGTGGAGGTTGATATGTGCTTTGAAAAAAAATGTGTAAAGCGAACACTGAAAATTCGTTTTAATTGAATAGTGATAGTAAAAATTCATCAGAGTATTAGATTTTATTGTGAATTGTTATAAGGCTTTAATAGACGTATACTCTCCTCACATTAAGATGTTAATTGAAGGCATAGT